GTTATCCTTTTTGTCCCTACCTCTCCTTTCCTCTGGCTCTCTCCTCTTCTCTCCTCTTCCTCTTTCTCTTTTCCATCCTGCTATCGTTCAATAAAGTTTGAGTGAAATTGTGAACATACGAACAGTTGTTGAGCACACATGCGCGCCCGCCGTGAATGACTGAGTGCGGTTAGTGTGAATAAACAGAGCCACGCCCGTTCATGTATTCATGCAGGTTTTGTAGGTAATGGAAATTTGCAGCCATCACATTTGGTGAAAAGTGCTTTCATTTCACTCTTGAGTTCTCTGCGGTGTGCGTTTATTGATTTTTTGTAAAGTTTGTAGAGTTGATCTTTGATTCTCTTACTTTCTGAAACCAGACTCTGAACAACCTTCGCTTGACTTTGAATGACCTTCCTCTCGTGTAAGGTTGTCATATGGCCCTGTAGTTTCTTCCGTAACTCGCGAATTACTCCGCAGATGCGTACCAAACCTTTTCTGTAATGATTATTGTCAATCCCACTTTGAAAGCAGTGTGGGTCTTTTCAGAATGATAAATCAAATTTTTTTGCATTCCACCTACTTGTTCGAGAAAATTCGCAAGTAATTGACTTTTTGTCTATACAGCTGCACTTTTGTTTTTCTCTTTGTTACAAATGTTTGACTTCCATTAATAAACTGATGAGACCTAGAAAATCAGAAAGTCAAAATCCTTTTTGCGTTTTTCAATTTTTCTCAATTTGTCTCATTTCAAAGCTCTATAGGGAATTGAAAGTTGCTATGTTACGCTCCATAGATGCTAGGTTACGCTCATAATTCTCTTCAATCTGTTCACTAAATTGGTGGCTGCACTTCCTTGTCTCCTTTTCTTTCAGAAATCTGCTTCTTTCAAACAAACCATTCTCTTGTAATATATTTAAAAACCGAATTTTTGGCGGGAAATGTAAACACAACACTAGCATTTTCTGATGACCCTAATGTGTAGAATTCACTGTTCATGATATAAAATGCCCTCACAAATCTTAGAGTTCTACACTCTGCATAATCCGTGTTCACGGCAAAGTGTTGATGAACCAAGGATTTAGAGTCGTTACATTTTTTTTTCTACACTACCTCCTCCCCCCCCCCTTTTTTCCCCATGACGGAACATACATAACATACACTTATTCTGAATAATTCCGGACGTTTGAGGCAAAGAAAGTGATGTTGCTGGTATTAGCTATGCTGAGATACCCTGATCTGACAAAAGTTGAATTTTCATTCACTGCTTACAAACTCGTTTATATGTGGATCTTTTCTTGAGTTTATAAGTAATGTTTTTCTCAAGCCTTCATAACAGACTTTGAGCTTTAGTTTTGATTGTCGGAAGTATTGACATGATTTGCATCAGAAACGTAAAACTAATTGAGAAAGTTCATTAGACACTGATAATCCAAGCAGCAACTTTAATATCTTTTTGAATATTCAAATGTTTTTAAAACTGAGGGTACAAAGTTTGCACCACCATCTTAATCTGATCTTTTACGGTCTACAATATGTTGTCGTGAACATCTCTTAGTTTTCTCGTCTTACTGTAGCTAACCGTAAGTACCCTGTGGTTTATGTTTTATGTAAGGTAATCCTTGAGTCTTGCAGCAAAAAAGTTCAGACCATGTTTCGAATCATTTGAAAAATCCAAAAATTACAGCTGTTAGTTGAAAACATTTAATCCCCATCCCCACAAGTTCCTCGCAGTCAGAAAGAGTCGTAAAGTCATGAGCGAAAACAAAATAAGATTTTTTTCGACATTCTAGCATTTTTTAGACCAGAAATTGAAAATTACGAGATTCTATGTTATTATAAATTGAAAAGAATCATTGGAAGTACAGATACTCACGAATTATAATACAAGTAATTTAATGCAAGACTTATGGATCACCAACTTTGATACCACCGTTACCCCTTGAAAAATTTCAAGAGGTTCACCCATTAGGTGTGAGTGTACTATTTGCGAGCTGAAGCTTTGATTTTTACGTTATCATTTAATTTTTGACAATTTTGTGAAACGAGCATAAAAACTTTTTTGAAATCTTTGGCTGTGTTGCCAAGTAAAGATGTTTGTGCTTTTCGTTTTTTGTTTTGTTTTGCTGTTTTTCAAAGTCTGTGATCACCGAAATGTTGAGAAACACACCATAAAACACCAAAAGAGGTGCTTACACCGTCAAGGAAATGGGAAACTACCTGTTTGTGTGCTGCATGTCTCCGTTTACACACGGTAATTCATCGTCGTGTGCATTTCGGCCAGGCCAGACAACTCGACTCTCAACTCGCCGCATTCGCCACCTTCGCGCACATTTTCTTCACATTCGTCCTTTCAGTGTGGGTATGCCATTATTGGCTGCCACTTTGAATCTAGTTTCTAGTTCCAAAGAGTCATACGTTACCGTTCATGTCTAGTTGGAACTCCTCTGAGTTCTCTACTGTTTTCGCTTTGGGTTGTACAGTCAGCCAAAATATAGTTCGGCAAAAAATGAAAAATAGTTTTTGTTGTGAAAACTCTAAAAATTATGCTTTTGAGACACCGTTTCTTTCCTGTTTCTGGACAAACTGTTTGATCTGTTTGAATTGTTTCTATAGGCACACCTATACTTGATCCACTTGATCCGCTTATCTACTTCGCTATCCGTCAAATCAGTGAACGGACCAATAGCGAAGTGGATCAAGTGCAAGTGGACATCCGCGTCGCTATTGGTCAGTTCAGCGTTTTGACCACTGGTGAAGTGGATCAAGTGGATCAAATGAGTCAAGCCATACCATACCCAAAACTCAATAAAAACTGAGTTTTGATGTTTTGTAACTAAAGGGATTATTTTGAATCAATGCAAAATTTTCTAAAGGTTAAAAGATTTGCTGTGCCAGTGATTAAGAAACTCTTACAAATTTTAGTTAGCTCTATATCATTTAAAATTTTCTGTGTGCGAGAGTCTCAGCCTATACTAACGGCCCCTCTCTGTTAGTGGTAAGCACCATTTCAACCTAATACTGCTAACCTTAACTTCAAAAAATACTCTTTCGGCGTTCTATTATGTTTTCGCCTTTTGCAATTTTTTTGCAGGTAATTGTTCTGTAGATATCTCTCGACTTTTATATACAGGGTGTCCCAAAAAATGTTTCGAACGTTTGATCGTTAATATCTCTCTTCCCAAGAAGTCTTTTGCCTTGCTTCAGGTACCGTTTTGTAGAGCTGGCTTCAACTTAGATTTCCATTATAGAACTAATCACCCATCTCTCTTCATTACTGTAGGGTTACGGTAGAAGCTTCAAAGAGGGTTTTGAACTATGAAAGGCCATATTTTGCCTCAGAAAGGAAACAAAACAGCCTGAAAATTTTTACACCAGGCTAATTAGAATTGCTGATTATAACTGTAAAGTTCCCAACTTATTATGATGCTTCATTGAAGAGTTATGCCAAGTGAGAGGTAGCGGCCTCTTTTTTAATGTTCCTAAGTGTGATTACACCGTTTAGAAAGCTTCGTAATCTTGTGAATAGCTGAGTATTAAACTCAGCGTCTATAAAAACCCTATTACACAAGTTTTCACAATTTTTTGAAAAATTTTGAAACGGCAGCTTTTTCCACATTGACACCATATGTTTCAAGTTTCTACCGTAATCCTACAGTAATGAAGAGAGATGGGTGATTCGTTCTATAATGGAAATCTAAGTTAAAGCCAGCTCTACAAAACGGTACCTGAAGCAAGGCAAAAGACTTCTTGGGAAGAGAGATATTAACGATCAAACGTTCGAAACATTTTTTTGGGACACCCTGTATTTTATCTTCTGCTTTCTTGTTTCACTCTTGCTAGAAATCAATCTTCAAAAGAAAGTCTGTTCATGCTAATGCTTCAGTGATGGCTAGTTAAATGTACTTTCATCTTCGAAAGTCCCGAGAAAAGCTTTTTTCACATATTCTCGTTATTTCCTCTGAGATTAAATTTTTGCTGTGTGGCGATTAGGAATCTTGATCTTTGAGAGATCTTCTATTCCCAGTACTTCCCTAGAAAAACTTCTCATTGGCTCGAGTTTCCGTAATTTTGGCTAGTAATGCCATTTTCACTAAGTTTCTTATTTTCATTTTTAAGTCAATTGTTCTATCGTATGAGGCTGGATGAAAACTTAAGATCAAATGCCCAGAAGGTCAATTATGTCTTCTGTCCGTTCAGCGTCATGCTTTCATCGCTTCCGGGTAGAGCATCTTGATTCACAAGAACTTTGAAGTGTTCTGCTTGAGTTTATCCAGTTTCGGGTTTTGTCAGCTCGAAGCTTGTGCTGAATTTGATTACACATACTTAGGCAATTTTCTTGCGCTTTTTTCGGCTCCGCGATCTCTTGGAAAGTTAATTTCTCATAAAAGCTCTGCTGCTCTCTTGCTGGCATTTACCCGAACGCAGAGAAGTTTGTGTTCTGCCTTAACATCATGCCAATCACACACAACCAATCGGCTTTGATTACAATCTAGCGTTCGCATTATTTGATGAGACCGTAGCGAAGCGGGGCGGAGCGCGTACCGAGTCTCGCGCGGTCTCGCGGTTGCGCGCTCGAGTCCGGGTTACGACGGCGGCCTGGTTTCGTCCATTCATATTTACCACTGTTCATCGTCATTCATCATTCACTCATCATCATCATTATGCCGATGCTCATTTGGCTATTGTGGGCACACTCACGGCGGAAAATCGCGCACACCTCATGCATTAATACCGGGGGGAGGGAGGGGGGGGGGGGAGGTAATGCGCGTAACCATCAACGACGTCCTTGCAATTATACATCGATTCCATAGCGCAAGCACAATTTTCCCGACACTGTTCAACCTGTCACTGTCAACATTCTCGCCATCAACCTGAGTTTTGAGTCACATTCTCGCTATCTAAAATTTTTTCTGTTGCTATCCTCCTTCCCATGTTGCTGGTGTCCCTAAGCTCACGGGCATTCCAACTTACGATTTACGTAATTAGAACTACTTCAGCCATCATAGAACTTGTTTCAGGCCGCCTCGCTGGCCTCATCGTCATCTACGCCTTCCGAACGCAATGGGCATACAGCGTCAGCCACCAATCAGTTGATTATGCATAGGTAAGTCCAGTTTTTTCAGCTTATGAATGTTTTTGGCTTCTCGCAAATATAAATAATAACATTCTTGAATTCCATTTGTATTTTTGAACTAAATTTTTCCGTCATAAGTTACCGTATGAAGTGCTCATAGGATTAACGCCTGAGATGCACACGGGTCCACCTCCTCTCTTTACCCAAAACAGAATTTTCCGGATCAAGCTTGGTTACAATAAATTGATTGGTCAAAAATTACTTGCCACTCGCTCAGTCAATGCAGCATTTTTTGGAAACAAAAGTTGGGATTTTTTTTTTCGAAGTTGAGAATCTGCTGGAGATAAAAATTCGAGACTAAAAATTCTGTTACTTCAAAACGAGCACAATCTTAGGATTTGCTACCGATTATATCGATTCGCTATCGTGATGAAGAAGCAGCGTACCAAAGTAGAGACCTAGCGTTGCATAATATGTACTTATTATTATTATGCAACGCTAGGTTAACGTCTATAAGGTCTTCATGAAACGGGAATTTATGGTCAGAAAATTTTTTTTATATTTTCTGAAAGGCTTTTTTGGAGAGGGAAAAAGTACCTCTTGCTACTTGCTGTTCTCAATGAATGAATTTCTCACCATAAAGACCTTATCGGACCCGGTCCTTTATGAGGAGAATTTACACTTTTTAACCGCGATTTTGTCAAGAAAGGTGTTGTAAAAATTTCCTGAAAATGGCTCGCAAATTTTGAACAAGACTTTTTGTGGTTGACTGATTACTTCATGGATACGATTCTAGGTAATTTTGAATTTTTTATTGATACGTCATATTTTTTTACGTATTTTGATCACTATTAGCTTCAATCTTCACTCATCCTGATAGAATGCTTCTGTGATTACGAGTCTATCAAGTATGATTTCGGGCGGAGGAGAATAGACTGTGCAAAACTCGCATAAATTTACTTGCCTGCTGTACTCGGATAAAATCAGGAATTTCTTCTATAGAAAAACTCATAAACCCGTACACTTCAGATACAAAGCGAAGTCATCGCAGTTGCAATCTCCACAAACTGGCAAACGTACGACGATGGCCAACGATGTGCACTGCGTACAACCCGGAACTAGCAAAGATAGTAGCTCCGGAGAGAATGGAGGTACATCCCGTATCCTGTCCATTCATTTCAGAATAGCTGGATATACATACTTCTCGAGCTGCTTAACAGCCAATAGTAGTTTTTGTGTCCATTAAAGAGCCATCAACGCCCAAATCAGGCCGAAAATGGAAGAAAACGAAAGCTGGGAAGCAGGGTAGCGGTGGTACGATGACCGGTGGATCTGGAAGTGCGGCTAGTTCGGCTAATACAAATACGACCAGTTCGACAACAGGAGTAGCGGCCTCACATGGTGTACTCGGAGTACGGCTACAGGATTGTGCTATGGCCGGACCGGACGATGTAGGTTCAAGAAATCTTCTTTTTTTTTCAGATTTCTACTTTATGCGGTTTTTTTGAGTTCAAAGTTTTTTGTGTGATTATGTAACTCAACCTCGCAAAAATGTCACAATTCTCATCAATTTGATGCCAGACTGCCAAAATTGGACCGGTTCTGACCACTCGCGTGTCTGCCGTAATATGTAATTTCATGATTTGATTACCATTTTCTAATATGATTTCCCATCAAAATCTCAAAGATCATGGCGCAGAGTTATGAAGATTTTTCCTCGCAAAGGTAGCATAAACTTGTCTTTTTCAGCTCGTGCCATTAGTGGTGCAAATTTGCGTCAGTGTTGTCGAGGCAAACGGTTTGGATACGATTGGTATCTACCGTATACCGGGAAATACAGCCGCGGTGAATGCCTTGAAAGAGATGTTCGCGCATTCATTGGATACGATGACTGTGGAAAATGTAGGTTTACGGTTATTTTGTTATTCTAAAAGTGAACGTAGCTTGCACAAATTTGCGTAGGATCTTTTTTTCTTAAGCCATGCTTTTTCCAGCTGGATTTGAGTGATTCACGATGGCGAGATGTCAACGTCGTATCCAGCTTGCTCAAAATGTTCCTGAGAAAATTACCCGAACCTCTTCTCACCGACAAACTTTACCCGTTTTTCATTGATGCAAATCGGATAGCAAGTCATCACAATCGACTCCATAAATTAAGGAATTTGGTGAGGTTGATCAGATTTGATTATCACCAAATCGATATATTGATTGATTTTTTTGTAGTTGCGGAAGCTGCCCCGACATCATTATGCTACATTGAAGTACATCATCTATCATTTGTCGGAGATAACGAAAAATAGTGCAGTGAATAAGGTGAGGAGCTACGTAAAGGAAAAATAAAAATGAAACGTTCAAATTTCCTCTTTTTCTGACTTATTGTTAGCCTGCAATTTTATTTTTCTAGTGCAAACTCGACCTTTAGGAAACAGAGGCTTGAACTCTCATTATAACCACATTTGTAATTTTGCGCGGTAGGCGGAGCCTAGGTTTCAATGCTGTTTTGGAATTTTGCTACTCTTTAGGAAGGTGACACGAAATTGCCAGCTATTGACAAAAAATTATGTTTTCTAATGCAAAAGAGGTCCGTGACGAACGGAAGTAACGGGGAAAGGGTGTAAAGAGACCAAGTTCATTTTTTCTATATTGCATATCTCAACATGTGCAAATTATAGGCTTTTAATTTCTTTCCGCTACGAAGGGAAAAGTTTTTCCAGTTGTGAGTAAATATTTGCGTTGTAATTAACACGTTGACGACCTTGTGTATCCGCACGTATGCACGCCCTGACTCCCGTTTAGCATTTTCGTGCATCCGCGCATATGCACGCTAGTTTTTTAGGTGCAAACGAAAAGTTTTAAGGTAACTTCTATGCAGTAATACTATTAGTGGCCTGATTGTCTTACAGAACACAGGGCATCGCGGCAGCTGTTCAGAAGTTTTGGCCGCAAAATTGGGTAATCAGTACGTTTCTGATGTAGTCAATACATGCTAATTACGTTTTCTCAAGAAGGTGAAAACTCTGTATAGCTGTTCTGAAATCAAACAAAGATGAATCAGGCAAAAAACATCTGGTTTTACAACGCTTTTCTCGAAGAGCGATTCCTCAGATATAGCCATTGCATGGATTTTTGGAGGGAAAATCGATGCAAAAACCTTGATTTGTGTGAGTCCTGGTAAGGCTCTGTAACATACCTGTATGTCTGAACAAAGTTTGCATGTTTTATTAATAAGTGTCAAAAAGACTCCCACATAATGTTTTCGTGCATCCGCGCGTATGCACGGGCCAAATGCGCGAAGGACATTCGTGGGAGTTTCGCCCAAAATGGCGCGGTCGTCAACGTGTTAATAACCTTTCATATTACAGATGGAGACTAGGAATTTGGCGCTGATGTTTGGGCCATCAATTGTGCGACCATCCGATGATAATATGGCCACGATGGTAACACATATGAGTGATCAGTGCAAGATCATTGAAACATTGATTCATTATGTGAGTTGCGTCTTTCACTACAATAGTAAAAAGGCGATGCCTACAAAATCTACGTATTTTCTTATATGGGGTTCTGATTGAGAGGTCTCAGCTAAACTTTTATCCAAGTGGCAACTCATATGGTTTATCTATGGTCTAAAAATTTTACTCTGAACCTTCGCCCAGATCGTAATCTCTTTACTGTACTCGAGATGACTGATGCACTTGGGAAGAGTGCGGTCTGCGAGGTTCACGAGTTTTTTTTGTTTTTCTATGAATCGTACGAGCTGCCGCTTGGGCACTAATCATCCTCCCAACTTACCCACTTGAAGATCAGATTTGTAAGACTTTGACTTTGCAACTTTGCAAACCCCATCCCTTTCTAGACTAGTCCTTTAATATATTTTTCCAGCATGAATGGATGTTCAATGACAACTCGCCCGCTGATGATGCCGTACCGGAACAACATCCGTCGGAAACTGGTAGGATCCAGTATTTGCACCCTTAGGACAATGACTTATTTTGCGCAGTACGTTCAGGTGGTCCACCATTGGAAGCACCGCAGTACGGTGTCGGTGTCCCAACAGGCGTTTCCGCTGCGTCCTTTAATGATATGCACAATTTGATTCGAAAAGCTAACGAAGATCAAGCTGCTGCAATGATGGCTGAAGGAAAGGGAGGAAAGGTAGAGGCACTGCCACTTTTTCGCAGTGAATTTTGCGATCTTAAAGGTTATGTTGAAAAAGTGTGATATTTTGCAGATCAAGAATATCCTGCGACGAAATTCACGGCGAGACAAGTCCAAATCGAAGTTGAAAATCGAGTCGACAGCGGCTGCGGCGATGAATCCACGAAGTGGTGGTGCCACCATATCCAATCACACCGCTGCTTCTTATCATCCAACACCTCCTCCACCAATCACGCAATCGCCAACCACGCAAAGTAGTGTGGATAGTGCATTCTGTGGGAATTATCAGGTTGGTAATGTGGAGACTGATTTTTTGAGGTTTTTTCAGTGTTTTTTTTTGCTTTTCTCATTTTTGACGTCAATTGTAGTTTCCTGTCATAAAATCTAGTGAATTTCTGCAGGAACGCGACATCGACGCCGAAATCATGTCGCGACAAGCCGTATCCCCCCTGGCTGCCGCCTCAGCTGGCAGCCCCGAGCAGAGCCCATCGGTTGAATCCAGCCTTGGCAGCATCCCGGATACGAGTCGTACTGATCCCGGTACCACCACCACCACCTCGACAACGGAGGCTGGAGAAATTCAGGCGAGGCGAAAAAGGCAGCAGGTAAGTAAACATTGACTTATTGATTGATTTTTTCTGAATGAATGGAACTTTCGAATTCTAGGATATCTACTGCGCCCGTAGGATCTTCATCGCTGGCTCGGCAGCTGCAGCTGATGACAATAGCGCCATCGATGCACTTGCGAATCATACCCAACATCTGAACATGGCAAACACCCCGGCTTTGGAGGTAGAATTTGTTATTTTCAAATTTTTTGGTATTTCTGATTTCCGCCATTTCTAGGTCCTCAGTGAAGAAACCCGTGAAAAAATTCGTAAAATGCAACGGCGCCAAAATTGGATGGATCCTTTGCCATTCACTATGCCAACCCATGTAATGAATACGAGTCATATAGTACATCCAGCCCCGTCACCGCCAGTAGTCCATGCAGAACCTCCACCTCCAAGCATCACTACGGATATCGCTAAGGTGGATTTTTCTTTTTCCGTTCAAAAAATTCCAAGCGCAGATTGATTTTCAAATTTGTCCTCCTTCTCTTTTTTCCCATTTTTTACTATCATGGCTTTCAGACTGGCTCACCCACCAAAGACATGACCGATGCCGTTTCGTGCACTTCGGACTATTCCACCACCAGTTCAGCTCCGCTGACTGCACCGTTGGCCGTAGCCTGCGCCGCATCTTCTTCCGATTATGCTTCGAGGTAGAGGATTTGAAAGGTCCCATACAATACTTTTTTGACTTATCTCTTATTTTAGCTTCAGTGATCCTAGTCCATGCGCTCGCAACGCGTCCGCTTCGCCCCGACAACGCCCACAAGTGCTGGGAGTATTGCCAGAAGCACGATGCCAGCAAAAAATCCGCATACGCAGCCGAACTACACCACGTGATCCGTCACGAAGGCATACGCTGTCTGATATGGATGTGTTGAAGGTATGTTATTTTACGCTTGCAAAATTCAAAAATATTATATTTTTTGACAGAAAATTGCCGTATTGTCTTGGGGTGTAAGATCAATCGTCACAACTTTTCTCCCAGCATTTCCTGTACTTTATGTTCCCAAAATTATCACAATTCCCATGTTATCTGTTTTTTCCTGCGGAAAAATCTTTGATAATCAGGCAAGGAACTAACTTTCCAGTTTTGAGCTTCGGGCCTCACGGCTAATGACTTAGCAAATTTCTATCAACTTCAACAAGCACTCTTATTTAGTAAGGGTCGCAGAAATTTGGCGAAGAACGTCTTAGTGTTGAACTTTTCAAGAATTCAATTCTTCAGCAAGTCTATAGCCCTATAGAAAAAAGGTGCTTGGCTTAGCCATACAAATAAAAAACTACCTGCATTTAAAATTGGGACATACACTTGTATAAAGGAGATGACTTGGCTATCAATTTGATTTGATTTATTGGGTGATTGTTTTATTCAACAAATTTTTTTCCTGCACCACAAACTCTCTAAAAAACTTTTGAAGTAAAAAGCGTGTTTTAGTGTGTATACTTTTTTCAGTTCTCAATATGTGGTAGCTTTTTTATTTCAAGAATCTTCTTCTAAACACTAAATTCAAAAAACATCCAAGTTATATTTTCTGAAAGAAATTTTGTAACTTCAATCTAAAAAACCCTCGTTTCGACCCAATTCTAAAGTATGAGAGGCGGATGTGTCCACCACTGCTTCCATGTTTTACTCTATCACAATCAGGCTTCATTTCGAATTTTATTCGTGTGCAGAAATCCTTCTTCCAGTTCGGATTCTATGAAATTGTTTTATAGGAGGGACGCCTCGAAAAATTTGCTCGATGGTTTGGCATTCGAAAATCCAGCCCAGATGTCAGTGTAGAACGCCAAGGCATTGACCGAAGTCCTGGTCACAAACATCCGCCTTTGGAACCGCCACTCATCGTACGAACTTCTCCCAATGAACTAACACCTGCCAGTGGAGACGAGCAACTATAAACGAAGTATGGATTCTCTCAAGCGCCAACTCTACGTATCGCAGCCAAAATGCGCATAATGGCTTATCTCCCCGTCATCCTACGTCTTTCCTACGTATAAATCTTGTCGCTTAGGTGTTATATTACTTATATGTCAAGAAAATGTGCATAGTATTTTTACTACTTTTCATGCCAAATGTCATCCACGAAATTTTGTGGTTCATTTAAAAATCCCAAAAAACTTGACGCTGTTGATTTATCGAGGTCGCTGAAGTTTGTGAAACTTCTTTAGCTAAATGAGAACATGCCGTGTCTGATCGTAGGGAACGTGAAACCGGGTCCACTAGATTGCCTCGTAGCGTATCGTATCCCGTGTATACTGTAATACTTCATCGCATACTGTAACCCCAACGAATAGTAATAAGATTCAAGCCCAATGCACAATATAACGCATCTCAAACGTTCTTCCGCCCTTATGTGTTCTTCTTCTTTTGGTTTTAGTGATCTCCAATATGTCGGTTCGTCAGAGGTACTGTATTTCCTCTTAACTTTCTACAGTATTACTACAGTCTAATTTTGTGCGAATGTGCCAATTTTACACTCTCACGCACACACACACACACAAATACTGAAGCCAAAGGTATTAGAGACGGTGCGAAGCGTTCCGCAAGTCGCGCACATTTTCACCTGCCAAGTGCGCGCCATTCAGCAAAGACTTTTAGCTTATAGAAAATGGGTTTGCAAAATGTACCGTACTCCCGTACCCAATCTTCGAATTCGTTGTTTTGTTTTTTTTCTATCATTAAATGTAAATTTCCCTTCTTATCATCGAGTCACATCATTTTGAGTATGCATATGTAAAAGTATGTAAATGTTACATTGTGCTATACGCTATATATGTACTATTATGTATCATAAGTTGTCTAATCGATAATCGATTTTCGTTCTGTTTTTCTCATATGTGTTTCTGATCAACGTTTCAACCTTCTGGCTATTTTCTTTTCGATGAACATTTTCTGGAAAGGTTGAGATTAAGAGAATTAGTAGGTATTGCTACGAAAATTGTGATTATACTGTTAGTCATTTGTGTTGATACAAGAAGTTAATAAATGATGTTTTCATTGCGTTGTGAATTAATTCAAGACAGTTTGAAACTGAGCTTAAGAAAATCAAATGTGATGTTTGGTTCGATAAAGACTTGGTGAGTAGGAAATTCGGACCATGTGACAGAACTTGTATGAGTTGGGGCACCGAGTCCCTTGATTGCGGACATAGAAGGCATGAAGGTTGGAATTATCAACGAGAATGGTTCTGCTGTTGACTTGAAGAACTTTGAGACCCATCGAGAATGTGTACATGATCCATGATCTCATGCATAGTAACCAATAATTTCTGCACTGCAAGTAACACAGTCCACCCATGGCATCAGAAAACACTCCACATTGATAAATCTTGCCACATATTGCAGAATCAAATGGTTAGAACATCCCATTTGTCGACACACCTGACGTGGGTGCATACCGCACACAGACGAAAGTTGACTAGTCTTAGTAAGTTATAGCATTATGCTTTGAAATAGCTGTCACAGTTTTGAAGCGTACGGGCTATATTTAGGGAAATTCGGAAACTTTTTTGAATATTCAAGTATCGGAATTCAAAAATCAAAAATTTCGATTATTCGACTATCGAATCTAGAACATTCAAAAGTCGAAATTCTCGTATGTCCGATTTTCGAATATTCGAATACCGAATATTATTCGACTATGGAATGTCGGGTGGAGGAATGAACACCTCAATTAGGCACAGCCTCCGCGCACCACTGGTCCCAACACGATGCACAACAGCAGGACGAAAGGACCAGCAACCCGCGGAGGCGATGCCTAATTGAGGCGTTCGTTCCTCTACCCTGGAATGTCATTCAAAATTCGAATGATATTCGTTCGAATATTACTCATTTTCGCACGAATGGATTAAATGTAAAAATTATGACAAGAACGGCTTGGTGATGGCATCAAGGGACTTGAGAGCCTAAAAGCCTATTCCTATGACGGTTGTGAAGAAACCTTGAGAAATCTAAAGATGATTATCGTTCCAAATCTTGGCGTCCATGATTATGATAGTGAAATCGAGCAATTACTGCGACATAGAAAGACGGCTCGTTTTGGATACCGTTCAGGATAACGCACGGGACCATCAATATTTACCCGTCAATGATATGTGGGTTAATATACAGGGTGTCTTAAAATATGTAGGCACTATTCAATCATTAGTTATTCTCCCACAAAGTTTTTCTGCCATTTAGGTACCTTTTGTGTCTGGTTTCAGCTTAGTCACTATCGAGCAACTCGCCGATAGCTCTTTAGTGTTGTAGGGATTACCTTAGGAGAACTGAGAGGGTTCTGAAAATGAGGGTCATATTGTGCTGAGAAAGAAACCAAAACCGAAAACACATCAGGCCTTTAAAAGTTACTGAGTTTAAATATAAAATTTGCACCTAATCGTAATGCTTTCTTCTACACCGCAACAAATGACTTTTCTCAGAAACGAGAGAGCTCAAAAAACTTGTGAAAAATCGTGTAGTTAAATCAGCATGCGTAAAAAGTCTGCTACACAAGTTTTTGAATTTTTTGCCAGGTTCTTTCACAGCATCTACCTAGTTCAATATGCTGAAGTTTCTATGGTAATCCCATAATAATAATGAGCTATGGGTGATCCGCTCTTTCAAGAAGCAAGTCCTACAGAATGGTACATAAAGGTTGGCAAAAGCCTCCGTAAGAAAGATATCAGCGACCAAATAGTGTGAATATACTTCTGAGACAGCCTGTATATGCTATGGATATCGACTTTCGATTAGTCAACTCCCACCGAATTCGAATACTCGTTGTTCATCGATTATTCGAATATTCGATGGACATCGAATGATCGAATTGATGACCATCGGATATTCGACTATCGAATAATATTCGAAAGCCTAGATCTTCGAATATTCGAATTTTCGAATCATCCGCATTCGAACGATCTATTCGAATAATCAAATGATCATTCGATTATTCGAATATGATTCAAATATGAATATGATATCGAATACCTTGATATGCGCTTATGCACGGACAAGGCATCTGGGAGGATATGTCATCAATAGATTTCCAATCTTCCAAATTGACGAAGACGGCACCGGAACGTTAGCCTGAATAACACAGGTTTCCAACAATCTTGCTTTGACTGACAAAGACAATCACATTATAGAATCTATGTCAAGATTTATAAACAACCGAGCGTGAAGTTCCCTCTAATTTCGCTGAAATTTTACGAAGTTTTTTTTTACTTCTTCTGTCCCTATCGACTTCATATCAAAGTCGCCACATGCACTGCAAAGGAACTTGAGAAAAAATCAACAACCACGATTATTGACAACTTCGACAAAATTGATGAGAGCAATCTGAAAAAATCAATAATTAATTCAATTTTAAAGGGTTATTACAATCATATCTTACAAGGGAAAGAATTTGATTAGAAGTGGAGTTTCTCATTAAGTGAGATGCATATTATTCAACAGTTCTTTAAGTGGTGATTATAAAACAGTTTTTATCCGTTTATCGGTTTGCTGAAAAAGGTTACAGGCATTTCTCTAGAGCTACATGCCTGAATGTCTGAAATTTATTTATTGCACATAAAAATCCAATGGCAATAGTTTTGAATCTACTCTACGACGAGGCTTATCAACTGCAATGTTGGATGCACCAGCATTTCCACTCCCGCGATGGACTATGTACCTGTTTTGCGAGCGTGCTCTCTGATCACTTTTCCACCCCTGATCTGGGAGGAATGGAGCCTCAATCAATTGGATATGATTAAAGAGCACGTTTGCGGAAGAGGTGCAGAGTTCCGCGCGGGAGTGTTGCTTGCACTCGACACTGCAGTCATAAGCTCTGTACCTTAATTCTGCAACAAGCACAGAATTCCGTGCCTCAAAACCCAAACAAATGCCTGTAACTTTGTTTAGGAATCGACAAGCATAGATTTAGAGCATGTTCGTAATCAAGGCGGTCATCATGGTACATAATTGATAGGTTAAACCAATTCGGGTCTACTTCCCTGCTTATCATAAAAAGGATAATCCTTTGTTTTAGCGTGATTGAGTTTTCAAAAGAAAACGTCACAGACTTGCGCCAGTTTGCGTGGCGTGCATGGTAATAATACCTGGCCACCATTTGTCTGATGTAGCGTAAGCTCCGTGCGGCGCCTAATTGGCCCAACCCTCTTCAGGAGAGGTCCTGAAAAAGAAATCGTATTAACGTGATATTATCACTGGGCCACTGCAAGTATTAGCGAATGCCGAGTATACGCATCATTCGCTGCATAGTTGCATTTTCAGCGTACGTCGTGTACAAGCAAGGTTTGGTCCAACCCTAAGTATAGCTTTCCCGTAAATCACACTTCTCTTTCTAATCATTGTGCAAAACGAACGACTAAGACGGAGAGAGAAGGTGATCATGAAACGGGAAACTGAAGGAGGTGAGTCAAAAGTAAAACTCAATGGAAAATTGTGGCTCACGTGTCTTTGAATTTGGGAAGATAACTATATAATGCGTACTTTTATACAACTCGAAAACAAAAAAGAATCATGTCATGCAATAGTTGGCTTCAGAAAAAGCACTATCGCGGGACTCAGCAAGTGCTGTTCAGAGGTTTGATTGAATCCTTCTATTGAAGCGGCGTCCTCCACGCGATTGGCGCGTACGCCTCTCCTCAGCTTGGCTCCTCGATTGATCCGACCGAACTTCAAGTGATACGATGGCGAAATCTAAACTGAGCCAAGCGGGGCGTCCTTATCAAGGGCTGAGATGTGCAGGCAGCCGAACGCTCGGCGACTTCTAAGCTCGCTCGGCGACGATTGCTTGCACGCTTGTCCCATTGGCGGCTAAGCCGCTCATCACGGCAATATGACGACCTGCTCACGACCTGGCTCTATAACTACTGGTGGGATAGTCATCTCTACGGCTGGTGTACTTCTCAAGGTGGCGTGCGAACTACGACGAGGGTTGTCGGATTCTTCACGGCGGTTTGGTGGGCTGGAGCTGCTGGTACGTGGGGATGGAAAGTGATAGGGTGTGTGTTAGTGGCGCTCTCTCTGGTAGTCTTTAACGACCCAGAAGTTAGGCATCCTCTTTTCGCGACGCTTCCATGCACGCGCATTTTGTGAGCCCGCTTCCTCTCGGTGTTCCGCAAAGTTAGATTCAGGAATGGACGAGGTTGGCAGGTTTGATGCGCATCTTCTCAAGGAACAGCGAAATTTCCTCAACCATCAAGGTTGAATTGTTATCGCACCGAGGTTTCGTGCCCAAGCAGACCGCGAGATGGGTGTGGGAAGCGGCTTCTAATACGTCCGAAAAATGACTCACCAGGGCATCGAAGTTCCTCGAGGTCTCTAATGTAGCACGTGAATTTTATAAATTCGCCCATTCTCTTACATTCGCCCGCATTGCAATCCTCGTAAGCACCCGAAATCCACGTGACATAGTGACGAAATCTAAACTGAGCCAAGCGACGCAACCTTATATAGGGGCCGAGAAGATATGCAGGCAGCCGATCGCCTTGTCCTGCCACGATGGCGAGTGTGCGTACGAAACGAGATAAACTCATAGAAAGTTCATACAAAGAGTATAATAAGAGATCTTAACATTGCGAATTACCGGGAGATAAATAAAAACAAGATCATAGACAAGTATAACAAGAGGGCGCGCTTAGCACCGTAAAACAAAGCACCACATAAACAAGAGTTTAGATCATCCAACTCCTTTTCCCTCACAAGTAAAAATGTTTCAAGATTTATTGCGGTGAAAGATAGATTTTTCATACGGGGAGGAATATGGTATACACCAAGTCCAACTTTGTAGCCTCAAGATGGACTGCGCCTTGCAAAAAATATTTATTTACTTCATCATTGCTCATTTTGGCTCAGATTTGTTAGGATTATTTCGCACTGCGGCACGGGCTGCACTTCGCATTGACCACAATGACCGAAATGAGTGCAGCGCCGTAGCACAAAAGTGGCAGAGATTCCATTCAGTGCCGGTCCATTTGGAGAAAGGGGGAGAAGGGGAGCAAA